GGGGGGGGGGAAACGTGTGGTCCCCCCTAAAATTTGCACCTCCTCACTATCAGCAATTCCGGTTTTATCTGGAGTATCACACCAGCCAAGCAATAATGAAAAAATCCTAAAAAAACTATTTGACATGCTGAATGTCATGGCAGAATATGATGTCCACGATAATTGTACTGTTCCATAACACCACATACAGCTTAAAGGCATCTTATTGAAAGTGTTGGTGCTTGAAAATGGCCAGAATTACTTTTCAAGACTTCCCGCCCCCTATTTTTTTTTTTTTGTTTCAAATAAGTTTTATTCTGTTTTCACAGGGATCCAACAGAAGATACATGTGTGTGTTATCAACCCACATGCGGGTTTCAATGCAAAACAGTAACATACATACATTTGAGATATGAATCCCTTTAGTAGTGGGTTGAATGGGGAACGAAAGAAGGGGATAAGGGGGGAAGTGTCTGCCACAGTGCTTTACAGTCCACCCATTCCGCCATTTTTCATTATTAGGCGCCCTGATCTCCCGAATAGTTATCAGGGTGTGTTTGAGTTACTCCGATCTAGTAGTGCTTCGTATTATATACCGTGGGTGATGAGCTATCATCGTGGTTACGACCTGTTGGCTAGTGCATCCATAGTGTCTCGCGGTGGAATGGTCAGAGACTTGACAAGAGACGGGCAGACAAGAAGTGGTACTAGCAAAGTAAGTCCAGCAGGCCCATAGTTTTCTAAATCTATCCAGTGTGTCCTGTTTAGTGGCCAAGAGCTCCTCCATCTCATAGACGTGACCCACCTGAACGAGCCATTCTTGGATTGTGGGTGCTTTGTCAGTCCGCCAGTGGCGGGTATGATCGTGCGTGCTGCATTAATGAGGTGTCTGTGTAGTGATTTAAAGGTGCCCGTTGGTTGGCCAGGTTCCCAGTGGATCCAACAGAGAAAACAAGGAGGGAAGCGCTACAAACTAAGTGAGAGGGCGTGTTGCGGAGCCAGGGAGGAGGGAATGGGAAAAGGTTGGGAGGAGCAGTCTTAATTTCTGTAGCCGAGTGATATGTTCGGCGGTCGATCCAATTTGTTCAGATGATCCCCAGGGAACATGAATGTAAATTGCGACGGTGAGGATACGGTGTGAAACAAATCAAAGAAAAAAATGTAGAAACTTACTCTTGAGTGAGGAGTGTTGCGAGGTCATCGATGAGGAGTAAGGATAGATGGTGCCACTTCTTCAGGAAAATCCTGACTGCGAATCTTTGTTAAAAGAGTCTTTTTGTCTGTAGTTCTATTGATTGAAGGTGATGGGGAGGCAGAGGCGGTGTACTTCTCAATCGCTAATCTAAGAGAATTTTTCCAGACGGGTATGCCCTAGGGGGACTGATCAGAAACTTTCCCAGGTGATATCAGGGATTCCCCTGTGACAAGGAGATGTGTAATGTAAGAGGGGAACACCGGTGGCTCGTATTGCCACGAGACAGCGGTATTAATCTAGGTGCCGGTCATTGGTTGCAGGCTGGAGTATACACCTCGGTTCGTGCCCAGTGCTGGCGGGACACTCGGGCACGAGACGGGTGTTTGCAGAATGAATTGGCGTGTGTGATAGAGGGGGCGGGCGGCAAAGTGGAGCAGATTCCGATGTGGATGCCGCCGGCGATCAGCAGCCTTTGCGGTGTGTGGGGTGGGTTGGGGGGCCGGCAGCGTCACACTGTGTGTAATGTAGGAGGGGGACACCGGTGGCTCGTGATTGCCGCGAGACAGCGGTATTAGTCCAGATGGTGGTTGCAGACTGGAGTGTACACCTCGGTTCGTGCCCAGTGCTGGCGGGACACTTGGGTACAAGGCGGGTGTTTGCAGGATGAGATGGCTACGCGTTTCGAAGTGTAGACTTCTTTTTCAAGCCAGGGTGAAGGTGAAGGAAATGGCGGGGAAACTTTTTAAAGGAACGAACGGGGAGGGTCAAATCAGTGGGCGTGGACCAGGGAGGAGGAACAAGGCCAATAGGGAGACGGGGGGCGGGCCCATAACCCTGATGTACACACTGAGGGTAAATGTGAAACGTTTGATTGGGGACGGCTGGAGGCAGATTCAAAGAATGAATGTGAATCTTTGAGAATACTGTGCTGGTTTAGGACACATTTGTTAGATGATCGTGTTGATTTCTAAATCTTCATTTAGACCATGGGGGGATAAGGTGTTCAGCTTGTAAATCCAGTATGTTTCCTGTCTACATAGCTGACGGAATCTTTCAGGTGGGGATTGGTTATTGGGGATTTGTTCAATGACAAAAACCTGGAGTTTTTTTATATCTTTTTTATGTTTGCAGAGGAAGTGTCTGGGGACACTGTGTTCAGTGTCACCCTTTTCAATAAATCTTCTGTGTTCTCCTATACGCTTGCGGAGTGGGCGTATTGTGCGTCCTATATAGAGGAGGTTGCAGGGGCATCTTAGGCCATAGATCACGTGGTCGTGTTCACAGGTGGTGAATTGATGGATGGGGTAAATGTTGCCCGTGCTGTCCTTGAAAGTTTTTTGGCCGTGCGTTATGAATTGGCAAGTAAGGCATAGTTTCTTCTTGCACTGATATATACCTACTCTATTGTCAAAAAGGAAGGTGCGGGTTGATTTTGCTGGGGTGGAGGCCAATTTACTGGGTGCTAAGATGTTTTTGATACTTTTCGCCTTTTTGAACACTACGGTTGGTTTGGGTGGTAAAGATGGGCCTAATCTCGGGTCACACTGTAGTAGGTGCCAGTTTTTCTTTAAGATGGATTCGATGGCTCTATAACTCCTATTAAATGGTGTGATGAAGCGTACTGCGTTGCTTTGTGTCGTAATTTTGCTTGCATGTGTTTGTTTGTCCATGTGATTATGTTTGGAAAAAAATTTTTGGGCTTTGTTGACCAGATCTTTTGGGTACCCCTTTTCTATGAATTTTTTCTTTAGGACGTTGCTTTGTTCAAGATAGTCGTTTTTGTCAGTACAGTTTTTGTTAAGTCTCCAAAATTGACCCTTGGGGACATTGCGTTTCCATAAGGGGTGATGGCAACTGTTAAAATGAAGATAAGAGTTGCCGGCTGTGGGTTTAAAGTGGGTCTTGGTTATGATTCTATTGTCTTCATGCGTGAGCTCCAGATCTAAGAATATGAGTTTGTGTTCGTCAATCATGTGTGTAAACTTGAGCCCGGAGGGATTGGTATTACAAAATGTTACGAAATCCTTAAAGGTGTCAACTGGTCCGTCCCAAATGATGATAATATCATCGATGTAGCGACCATAAAAGATGAGGTGTTTTGCGAATGGGTTATTGTGCCATATGTGGACATGTTCCCAGTGTCCCATTGTCAGGTTGGCATAGCTAGGGGCATAGTTTGCTACCATAGCTGTGCCTTGAATCTGGATGTAAAATTGGTCCAAAAAAAGAAAGTAATTGTGTTCCAACGTGAACTTGGTTGAGTCAACAATAAATTGTGCTTGTTTGAGATAGCCTGAGATAGCCTCCTATCTCAGGGATTCAGGACACCTGATCGATATCCTACAACATTACACTTGGGAACCCACATATCATTGGGCTTCCCTTGATGTATGTTCATTATACACATCCATCCCCCATGAGGTGGGACTACAAGCACTTCAGTAGTCCTTATAACTTTCCAGGTTCCCAGTGGAGGAGAGAATATGTGAGGGTAAAGGGAGGTGTAGATCCAGTGATCTTATGGATAGCACAGTGTACTTTTCGCCAGAAGGGTTGTACTTGAGGGCAGGACCAGAAGATGTGCGTGAGGGTGCCTTCGTCCGTGTGGCATCTCCAACATAGTTGGGGTATGGCCGGGTTCACGCCCCCTATTAATCACTTCTTGGATGTGACAGGTCGTCTCAAGATGGCCTGTTAGCCCCGCCCACTCACACGCGCTGCACAGCGCACACGAGCAGGAACCTGTCAACATTTGTAAACAGGCGACAATTCCTGCTTACTTAAAAGCGATCCGCCGGCAATCTGGGCGCTGTGCCCAGTGCGAGCCCGAGACCAGCATGGTTGCTCTGTGACAGGGGATCAGACGGAGATCATTACAAGAACTCCCTCTGATCTCCTCCCTGTTGTCGCAATGGGGAAAGTGATGTATATTACATCACTTCCACATTCTTGTGTCATTTTCCGGCTTCAGAAGCTGGAGAGAAGCTGATGAAGGGGACCGAGCAGAACAGCCGAGCCAAATGCCGCTCGGCGGAAATTAGCCGTACCAGCCTGAAGTGAATAGCCGAACAGTGTTCGGCTCACTTCACTTCAGATCATTCATTCACTCGGCTGCCCTCGGCAGCTTCGTGAATAGACCCCTTAATCTCCTATCCTGACGCTCGCACTGCTCTTCTGCAGTCAGAAACTTTCCTATTCTCCTCCACTTGAATATTTTCCCTTCTAGGTATTTATTCCTATCCTGTTTAAATGTTTCTGACTTCTTACTGCTGATAAGGTCGGCTTTAAACATAACTATTTTTTCATTGATGTTTTTCCCACTTCATGAATGCAGATAAATCTTAAAGCTGTGTTAAATTGTCTTGCAAACCAGCAATATCAGCAGGAATGTGATCATAGTTTCTTTCTCCTTGTTTTATAATTATCTACATCCACTTATCAGTGCACTCCAGTGAACAAGCATACCATGCCTGCTTTAGATCCTCTTCAAGAAAATTGCAGGACTCATTGGTGCACAATTCACTTCTAATTCACTTTTTTAATTCACAATTCACTTCTAAATATATGATCCCATCCCACCAATGCATCATTTCCTTATCTTAAAGATCTTCTAGAATGTATGTCATAAATGTACTTCTATTTTTCTTTCTTTGGTATTAGTCATCTTTTTTGGTTTTAGCAAGCTGATAAAGTTCTTGTAAAGTAATTATGCAGCCACTTAATGTTTCATCATTTATAGAAATTCTATGTATATCTTTTGCTGTCCCAAACCTCATGAATTTCTAATAAATGACACACTGAATGCACGAAGGTGAAAACTGACCCAAACATATATAATATTGGTGTGTGCACTTGCAGGCATACTCAGTAAAAGTACAAGAAGCAAAGTGCAGTGCCCATAGCAATCAGAATCCATCTTTTACTGACATGAATTCAATAATTTCTAATGGGATGCAATGAGGTACTCTGCTTTTTGATTTAGTACGTTTTCTGCTTATGTTAGTGTTACTTTTTATTGTGGGCTGCAGAAGTATTTTAGTTCCTAAAATACAAGCTCACACTGAGTAGATATAGGAGAAACCATTGCTGGACTTGTAGTAAACTAGTCACACGCGTGAGCAATTCAAACTGAGCTTATTATAAAACAAATGTCAAAACTATAGATGGTTGCAGTTATAGGAAAATCCAGATTTTTCCTGTAAAAGTTGAACTCATATTCCTCATTGCCTCCCTTCTGGTCTATGACACTAATATTCCCATAGAAATCTGTCATGAGAGATGCATAAATGCTGACATTGGTGATATTGCCTTCTGAAAGTGTCAATTGCCCAGTTGTCATGCTGATCCTATGGCTTTGATACTTTGAGTCACTGACTGTGAATAAGTACGCATAAATACATTTCTGGCTTTTTCTGAATTTCCTGATTTGCAAATTTCTTCTGGATCTGTGGCACAGAAAGTATTGGAACCACTGAGCCAATATAACAGACATTAAATTGTCCATCAATAGCAGCCTGTTTATTTCTCTTATGGTGGTTTTACTTTTAAGGATTCATAAGGAGATTCCGAAAATGAGAGTGGGTGGACTAAGCTCGACTTATAAGAAAAGTAAAAAATGTTCAGCTTCTTGTAGATCCACTGAACATTTTTACATGTGGGTTTTAGTAAAAGTACTTCTATTCATGCATGGTTTCATAATATATTTAAATTGGGAAGGATTGTGAGAAAGGTATTGTTCACTGTGTTCTGGTTTGTAGAGCTGGTTTGTATTTTTAAGTCACGAAGGTATCACTTGTATTTTTCCTTACAAACTTTGTGTCAAAATGACAAATCATCAGGTTTTAGTATGTCATACTAAAACCTAATGAAGGGGACCCTGCGTGGCCCTGAAACATTGTTTTGTGACAGTCTGCATCAATAAAGAAGATAGATTTTTGACATAGGTGTGCTGGTGACATTTATCATATATTTGAAGATGCACAATGCCATCCGTGGGTACTACAGCACCCTCCTTTATACATAGGGGTTCCGGTAAGGAGTGCAGCCGTTCCTCTCCAAAAATGAAAAATCAGACATGTGAATTGTTATTCACAAAGTATTTTTTAAACCAACGCTGTCTAGGGACAATTAAAACATCCTGAATGAAGGCTTCCTGTAAGAGAAAAGAAATGATACTCACCCCTCTAGGGTCTCCTGTCTGCTACTGGCTCTCTTTTCTAGTGCTGCAGCCTCGGTCCAGGAGTACTGGATGCCTGTGTCCCTAGCTGTGCACCGTGGCCCCCTTTTTTCAACCCCCACATTACGGTTGAGACCTGTAATGTTGTGGGGGTCAGAAGGAACCATGACGTATGGCAGGGGACACAGGCATTAGATACTCCAGGGAGTGTTGAATGCTATAGACACTGATAGAGACTGCAGTGCTGGAACACAGGGGAAGTATGAGTCATGGGTCGCTGGAGAGGTGAGCATATTACCTCATGTTTACACAGAACCTTTATTTAGATTTTTAACCCCTCTTGTATGGGTCACTTTAATCCAATAGGTTTTGTCCAGAGTTTTATTTAAGAGGTTAAAAGGTAAGAAAGCAAAACAAAGAATTGCCATTTTTATGTGACATGTGGGTAATATTTCCATATATTGAATAAGTAAAGCATATTGTCATCTTATGGATCTGTTTCCATGCTTTCTTTATTAAACAGAAAAGATGTCCTCACATGATCAATGCAGAAATATATTTTCCTGTACTTTAATACAGCGCTGGCGATATCTTTCCACCATCTTTAGCATTAGCTTAAACATTTTTGTTTGGAGCGGAGGTGTTATTGATCTTTCTTCAAGTGATATTCCTTGTGAAAGCTCTTCATAAATGTTCATCCCCGTCTCTTCTTGGAAAATTCATAAACGTTTCTTCAACTAGTAATTGTGAGATTCCTTACCTAAGGAAGCCTGTTGTTACAGTAAGAAGTAAAAATGTCAATACGCTGAATTATTGTGGTTGGTATTATATTGTAGAGACCTTATTTGCCATTTTTGTGGAGTAAAAATGATATCAGGAACTAGGATTTAATAGAAAGTCTTATATTTTGAACATGTCACTGTATGCTGTCTTTTCTGTTGTCTTTCATCTACAAGCTGGGTTCTCATGCCAAATGCCTTGCATTCAAAGCCTATAAAATATATCTATGATCAAGTCTATCAATACTCGTTTTCAGCGCAAACTTAGGGGTCTATTCACTAAGCTGCCGAAGGATCTAGCTGTAGCTCCGGCTGATCCTTTGGCTAGCTTCGGCCTCAGGACCCCTTCGGTTCTACTGAACCGAAGGGCTGCTGTACGGGCTATTCGCTATAGCCGGTACATCTCCGGAAGTTGGCCGAGCGGCTCAGTCAAGCCAAAGGCTGAGCCGAGGTGAAAGCAGAAGCTGGGCGGAGCCAGCCGTCATCTCACGGCTGGCTCCGGCCACTTGCAGAGAGATCAGCGTCCCTGGTTACCAGGTAACCAGGGACGCCATCTGTCATTACACACTGAAAACCCGGCGGAAGCCAGCATAGTTTATATGTGTGATATGTGTGTGTGGGAGGGGGGTGTACAGGGACAATGATGGCATGCTTGGACTTGTAGTTCCTTAGCTGATATATATATGTGGGGGTGGGGGGTACAGTTCTAGTGGATGTTTATATAATATGAGGGGGGGGCGAAAAAAAATGTTCTGCCCCCGGGCGCCCATAACTCTGGTTACGCCACTGAAAGCATGACATGTCATATTGTGCCAGACTGAACAGGAAGTGAGAAGAAATTTCATCAGTGGTGATAAAGACAGCATTTTATCCTGAGGTTGTAATTATTCTTTGTTTTAGTCAATTTTAAAATAATTTGGATGCAGTTAGGCTTTACGATCTTGCTTCATGGTGCATGATTAAGTGGCTGGGTCTGCTACAGTATGGATAGGTTACTTTAGTCTATGAGCTAGCTGCTTAGGTTAAGAAAATCTAAGGCCCCTTTCAGACGGACGGTCCACTCAGGTCCGCCTGTCAGTTGTTCTGGTGGATCAGATCGGAAGTCCAATGCTACTTTGTGGGCAGCTGGATCTAAACAGTTATGCGTCCATTTGCATTGGATTACCCCCGACTCTGTCCAGGTCCAGAAAACCAAAGGGAACAAAGTTCTGTTTTGGTGGACCTGATTGTGGTGGATCTGGGGTAAGCTGATGTAAATGGGCACATGTCCCTTTACATCCAACTCCCCATGGACCTAACATCGCAAGAGGGTGGAATAGACTGAATGGACATGGACGTCACAAAAGTGACATCCGTTCCAAACTGCTCTAATCCACAGGGGATCCATGCATGCTGTTCTGAACTGACAGGCACCCGTGTGAAAGGGGCCAAACATATTTGTCCTTTGTGAGAGTGAAAGTTGCAGTGTGCTGTTTTATTATATTTATCCTCAGTTATCGCTTGCAGCTTCCAAAGATTCTGTAGTATGACAGCATTTGAACTCGCCTTGTTTATACTAATTTTCAAATACTTTTTTGTACCAGGTCATATTAGCATATTCCATTTGTACACAATTTATGGTAACAGCTGGCTGTTTAAAACAAACGTAACATCAATACTAAAAATACAAAAAAGCAGACAAAAGCCATGACTAAGACTGTAACAGCACTGGGGTCATTTGCATTAATAAGTAATTGTGATTCTCTGCATGTTAAATATGCATATCTAATAAACACTATTACTGTACACACAAATGTCTCACAAAATACACTAAGCATGCCAGCACAAAGCGCCCAACCAGTAGACAAACTATAATGATTCTTCAATACAGTGAGCTAGACTGGTTGATGGTTAAGGCACCACATCCTCAACAATCTCAAAATTTAGATATCTCATATATTGGACTTTATACATATATTAGACTTTAGAGATTATCAGGTATTAACATATGTTAAAAATTCAGTTTTAACTACATAGAGGCAGCAGAAGTAGCAATGGCTGCGGGACTCCCTGATATATGAATGTTTGTTTCCCATTTCCCATTGTTGCACTAATAGAAGTATCATTAAAAAGACATCTCATAAATGGGACTTTCAAGGTGCTAGACATGTGTTTTATCTTAATGTGATATATTAGATGATCTCTGTTCTCCTGGTGAAGCTGACCATGAAACACATTAAGAAAATAACCATCTCCACTCTCAAGTGCTTATATAGTATACACTATATCTACCTTATTTTGAACCATGTGTGGTCATTATGTGAACACTTATACAACACTTCAGCTATTTGTTAATGTGGTCAGACAGCATTGTGTAAAAACTATGCTGAAATGACATTTTGGTGCACCTCAGGGCCTCTTAAATGTGGCTTTTTAAGCACTTGCTGATCAGGTGTTAATACCCACTTGCTGTCGAGGCCATTTTTCAGTATTCAGCACTGCGGTACTTTGACTGACATTTATTCCATCATGCAACGCTGTACTGAAATACATTTTATACCATTTTTGAGAACAGATAGAACTTTCTTTTGGTGGTATTTAATCACCACTGGGTTTTTGATGTTGTTTTTTTAACTATATTTAGGAAAAAAAAACATTTTCCTATATTAAATTATGAAACATTTATTATTACCCAATTTTTTTGTAAAATATAAAAGGCGGGGTTACGTCGGGTCAATAGCCACCAAACATGCCAAGCCTAAATTTGTGCTTGCGCCCGTGAAACCGCAAAAAACTACTCTACCCAAAATTGGCTATAGGCGAAGCTTTAAAAGCTTTAATCGCTCATCAGTTTAGTGTTATTAGTGATCAACGGCCCTAGAATTATTGCTCTCACTCCGACATTCGTGGTGATATGTATATGTGCAGCGCAATTGTCGTTTTCGCAAGTTGGCGCACCCGACGCGTATTTACGTTTATGTGGGGGTGGGGGTGGGGGACTTAAACATTTCTATTTTTTGAATTTTTTTTTATATGTGACACATTCTTTTACTACTTTTTGTACACTTAGGGGGCTATTCACAAAGAAACCGAAGGATCCAGCCGTAGCTTCGGCTGATCCTTCGGCTCTCTTCGACCGCCGGAGCCCTTCGGTTCAGTCGAACCAAAGGGCTGCTGTATGGGCTATTCACATTTGCTTCGGCTCGTCTGAGCCGAAGTGTCAGCCGAAGCGGGGCGACATTTGGCTATTCACTCTGCTATTCGGCCCCTATGTGAATAGGGGCGAATGGCAGCGAGTGAGCTGCCGGAGCTTCGGCTCAGCCGATCCAGATGTTGGATCGGCAGAGTCGAAGTCCTTCAGCACTTCGGCTCGGCTGAAGTGCAGCCGAAGTGCAGCCGCACTGAGCCGGAGTGAACAGCCGAACATTGTTTGGCTCACTTCACTTTGGCTGGGTTATTCACTCGGCTGCCTTTGGCAGCTTTGTGAATAACCCCTTTAATGTTATTGCCATCACATAGGGGGCTACAATCCTCCTATGTGATAGCACAGGCACACTGAGAGGTCCTCTTTATGCAGACATTAGGGGTATCTAAGACCCCTAATGTTACCTGGGGACCCCCAAAGAAGCTGATGAAGCAGAGATCTGCTTAGGGTTGCCACCTGTCCAGGATTCACCTGGACAGTTCGGGTTTTGAATGCTGTGTCCAGGTTTCATGGCAGCAGAAACCCGGACACAAGATGTCAGGCAGATAGGGGCAACCAAAATTAAGATAGGGGCTACTGGCCCCCCACTGAAAATAGTCTCAACTGTGATATTTACATATGAATGCGTGGCACTATTGACTTATGAATAAGCCACGACTCATTCTCCCCGAAAAATGTTTGCGCGTCGCTAGAGTGTTCGGGTTTCGCTTGAAGAAAAGGTGGCAACCCTAGATCTGCTTCACCAGCTTCTTCTCTGGCCATAGCAGCCAGAGAAATGACAGCTGAATGCGGAAGTGATGCAATATACATAATTTCCGCATTCAGAGATCAGAGAGGAGATCAACAAGGAGGAAGATGGTGATCTCCCTCCCATCATCCTGCTGACACCCGCCCGAGCCGGTCCCGGGCCCGCAGAGGGGACAGCGGAGCCCGGGATGGAAGGTAAGGGCTTTGGAGGGGGGCGGCGATGCAGGGGGGTGAGAGCGCACAGTGCAGGGCCGCACATACAAGCCATCGGACGGCTATAGAGCCACTGATTGCTTGTATGTATAACACCTATTACTGGCTGTGTACAGCTTGCAGTTTCTTCTGCTCGTGCACGAGCAGAAAAAAAAGCAGTATATTTACAGCGCCTCGCTAATAGGAGCTTGCCGTCCGTCCGTTTTTTTTACAATGGTGGTCAAACTTTTTTTAACAATAAAAATGAATTCATTTATTTCCATTACTGGTACTCTTTTTCTCCAATGGATACTAGTTGTGAGACCTTTGCATGTGCTTTCTCAGGACTACCTATCTACTTTAGCTATTATGAGAATGTCTGTTTTTTTCCTTTTATTTTATTTTATACAGCCCTACCTACTGTAGAAAAAGGAATATGTAGAGAAGGGCTATATATGGAAAATCTAGAGGGAATCCAAAATATATACAGTATACACACTCACCGGCCACTTTATTAGGTACACCTGTTCAATTGCTTGGTAACACAAATTGCTAATTAGCCAATCACATGGCAGCAACGCAATGCATTTAGGCATCTAGATGTGGAGAAGACTTGCTGAAGTTCAAACAGAGCATCAGAATGGGGAGGAAAGGGGATTTAAGTGACTTTGAACGTGGCATGGTTTTTGGTGCCAGACGGGCTGGTTTGAGTATTTCAAAAACTGCTGATCTACTGGGATTTTCACGCACAACCATCTCTAGGGTCTGAAAAAGAGAAAATATCCAGTGAGCGGCAGTTGTGTGGACGAAAATGCCTTGTTGATGTAAGAGGTCAGAGGAGAATGGGCAGACTGGTTCGAGATGATAGAAGGGCAACAGTAACTCAAATGACCACTCGTTACATCCGAGGTATGCAGAATACCATCTCTGAACGCAGAACATGTCGAACCTTGAATCAGATGGGCTACAGCAGCAGAAGACCACACCGGGTGCCACTCCTGTCAGCTAAGAACAGGAAACGAGAGGCTACAATTCGCACAGACTCACCAAAATTGGACAATACTGTAGAAGATTTAAAAAACTTTGTCTGGTCTGATGAGTCTCGATTTCAGGTGCGACATTCAGATGGTAGGGTCAGAATTTGCTGCAAACAACATGAAAGCATTGGTCCATCCTGCCTTGTATCAATGGTTCAGGTTGGTGGTGGTGTAATGGTGTGGGGGATATTTTCTTGGCACACTTTGGGCCCCTTGGTACCAATTGAGCATCGTTTAAACACCACGGCCTACCTAAGTATTATTGCTGACCATGTCCATCCCTTTATGACTACAGTGTACCCATCTTCTGATGGCTACTTCCAGCAGCGTAAGGCACCATGTCACAAAGTTCACATAATCTCAAACTGGTTTCTTAATCATGACAATGAGTTCACTCTACTCAATGGCCTCCACAGTCACCAGATCTCAATCCAATAGAGCACCTTTGGGATGTGGTGGAACTGGAGATTCGCATCATGGATGTGCAGCCCACAAATCTGCAGCAACTGTGTGATGCTATCATGTCACTATGGACCAAAATCTCTGAGGAATGTTTCCAACACCTTGTTGAATCTATGCCACGAAGAATTAAGGCAGTTCTGAAGGCAAAAGTGGGTCCAACCCGGTACTAGCAAGGTGTACCTATTAAAGTGGCCAATGAATGTGTATGTATGTATGTGTGTGTGTAAATATATATATATCTATATATATATAGATAGATAGATATAAAT